TAGAAAATATAGATTTTTCCACCAAATTTCTGCTCTAAAAAGTCTTTAAGGTTGTTTTCAAATTAAAATATACCATTACGTTTCATAAAAGAAGCCGAAAATATCAAAATATCTACCATTACATTTTATATAGAAAAACCAAAAAAATACAGTTCCCCCTGCCAAAGTTTATAAAAAAATATGATCGCCGGATGAGTAATAGGGTAACTCAAAAGGTATCCAAAATTGCCATGAAAACAAACCCAACCTCCGCCCTGCTGCCCCCCAATAATTATAGTCTAAATTCATTTTTATGCACCCTGATAACCCCCAATTCTCCAGGTTAAAACCAGTGTTCTTTCGCCGAACTTGATTTTTGGTCCTCCTAGCGAGGAAGCAACATCAGAAAAGTGGCAAACATCTGAAAGCCATGCCCTATGCAAAAATTCGGTACTTTCCTGTTATAAGGGGATCGGGATACAACAAGCTATTTGCAAAATATGCTAAACACGGAAAATATTTGCTATCGCATCACTAGACGCTTTTAGCCAATTTTTTACTCCACTAGCCAAAATTTTAGCGAAAATAAAAATTGAGCGAGGCTCGATGTGACCAAATTGCAATATTGGCTCGCGGAAAATAGTCGGAAAAGCCCAGGTGAAATGCGGCGCTGAAGACGTCAACGCCTGCCCCTACCTTTGGTGTATACCTCGTGGCGAGAAGCGTACTTTACCGAATCGTGAAATGCAGCGACGTCATCGCGGGAAAGGCTTTGCAACAATTACACACAATTCTATGAATTTATTCATGGTTTCCGAGCCCATCCGCGTAACGGTATTTGACACGTGACGAGCGCGCTGAACGGGCTGCCCATCAGAATTTGGTCGGCCGTCCTGGAATCGGGTTCAATTTTTAAAATATAAACCAGGGTTGAAAAGCCGCTTCGCGACTTTTCAACCCTGGCCCCGTCTCATGCTATGATGTCCTTCCTTTTGCATAATTGTGCCCTACCGACGCTGAAAAAAATGAGAAATGCGCGTTCTGCTCCTTTATATAGGCTACCGCCACTTCCGGTGTATGCTAATTGATTCCTAACAAAGAGAGTGCCCGAAAATTTCACTAAAACCTAAATTTAATGTCGAAAATAAGGGATTTTGATATATCTGATATGCGTGCAGTCATCCATAGACCATTACGCTCCTAATGACGTATAAAACATGCCCCTAATTACTCTCCTTCTTGAGATACGACTGGAACAACCTGACGGAAGTTGAATGCAAAGTGGCACACACACACACGCACAGACACTATTTTTTTATATATAGTACCAGGGTTGAAAAGCCGCTTCGCGACTTTTCAACCCTGGTCCCGTCTGATCCCATGATATTCTGCGCTTTGCATAATTCTCACGATTTTCGATGACAAAAAATGAGAAACGCTACCTCTCTTACCTTTATATAGGCTACAACAACTTCCGGCGCATGCTAATTGTTTCCTAACAAAGAGGGTCCTGGATTTTTCAACAAAAACTTAATTTTAACGTCGAAAACAGCTAATTTTTGAAGATTTTGTTGGTGTGCAGTCATCCCAAGGCCATTACGCACCTAATGACGTATCATACATGCCCCTAGCTACCCCCCTAATTGAGATAGTACTGGAACACGCTGACGGAAGTTGCATGCAAAGTGGCACACACACACACACAGACACTATTTTTTTATATATAGTAGGATAGGATAGGATATATATACCAGGGTTGAAAAACCGCTTCGCGGCTTTTCAACCCTGGCCCCGTCCAGGACCTGTGAAAGTCCTTAATTTGCATGTTTCTTCCTGAATCCTACTATATATCAACTATAATAATTTTCTTGAGGCGTCAGTGTGTCTGAAGCCGAATTCAACCCGAAGGGGAAAGGAGCTAGAGCTTAGCTCTCTTCGGATTCGGATAGAGCGTGGTCAGAAACCCCCGAACTGATCAAAAAAATATGAAAAAGTTTTCGTTTAAATTGTTAAATTTAACTTTGAAAGTTTTTTACTTAGTAAAAGGGGTAGGGACGGAGGTTGGGGTGATTTTGGACATAGTGAGCCAGGTCGCGCGCGTTTCGGCGAAGGGGAGGGGCGCACAAGGGGTAGCCCGAAGTCCGGCCGCTTGCAGCGGCAAAGCCGCTGGAAGCGGCTGGTCATCAACTATAATAATTTTCTTGACGCGTCCGTCCGTCCGTCCGTCTGAAGCCGAATTCAACTCGAAGGGGAAAGGAGCTAGAGCTTAGCTCTCTTCGGATTCGGATAGAGCGCCGTCAGAAACCCCCAAACTGATAAAAAATTATGAAAAAGTTTTAGTTTGAATTATTAAAATTAACTTTGAAAGTTTTTTCCTTACTAGGGAAGTGCAAATAAAAAACCCAGCAAACCGCTTAGCAAAAATATAGGTCTGATAGAGTCGGCGACGGGGATTCCGAAACTGCAATCAGAATTTGCTAAACGCTTAATACAAAAAAGTTATGAGCATTTTAAGTTTTGCAGCACTTATTCCGCACTCCCTTATGAGCCCCTCCCAAAGAGCGGTGTCCACCTGTCGAGTGGTGTAGTGGCTAACTAGCCTGCCTCTGGGGCGGAGGGACTCTGGTTCGACTCCCCGGTCATGCAAAACTTTTTGCTTTTTGGTCAAAGTCAACAACTTTCGACTTTTTCAAAGTTTCAAAGTCGAAAAGACCGTTCTCTTAATTTTTAAATTCTATATAATTATATTATACTAACCGCCCCCCGATAACCTGGAAGCACCCATTTTCTTTATTATTGACTGCGTGTAGGCTTACCTTACGAAAAACCAGAGGTGAATTTTTTTTAGTGCCCTACACGCAAGAGTACTTGCACTCCCGCCACCACTTTGTAATCGGTTTCAAGAATTTAAAAATTAAGAGAACGGTCTTTTCGAATTTGAAACTTTGAAAAAGTCGAAAATTGTTGATTTTGACCAAAAAGCAAAAAGTTTTGCATGACTGGGGAGTCAAACCAGAGACCCTCCGCCCCAGAGGCAGGCTAGCTAGCCACTACACCACTCGACAGGTGGACACCGCTCTTTGGGAGGGGCTCATAAGGGAGTGCGGAATGTGCTGCAAAACTTAAAATGCTCATAACTTTTTTGTATTAAGCGTTTAGCAAATTCTGATTGCAGTTTCGGAATCCCCGTCGCCGACTCTATCAGACCTATATTTTTGCTAAGCGGTTTGCTGGGTTTTTTATTTGCACTTCCCTAGTTAGTAAAAGGGGTCGGGGACGGAGGTTGGCATGATTTTCGCATAGTGAGCCAGGTCGCGCGCGTTTCGTGGATGAAAATTTTCATGGGGAATTTCATTTCTTTTTTTCTCTCATTCCATCCGGTCGGTCGTTATTTTCGTTTTTTAAAAGGATTTCGGCTAGGAGAGGTATCTGAAGCCATCGGGAAGGTATTTAGGTAGTTTTTGAAGGGGATTTCAGCCATGGGGGTTATCTGAAGCCATCGGGAAGGTATTTAGGTAGTTTTTGAAGGGGATTTCAGCCATGGGAGTTATCTGAAGCCATCGGGAAGGTATGTAGGTAGTTTTTGAAGGGGATTTCAGCCATGGGGGTTATCTGAAGCCATCGGGAAGGTATGTAGGTAGTTTTTGAAGGGGATTTCAGCCATGGGGGTTATCTGAAGCCATCGGGAAGGTATGTAGGTAGTTTTTGAAGGGGATTTCAGCCATGGGGATTATCTGAAGCCATCACGAAGGTATCGAAGTAGTTAGTAGAAGTAGGTGGATAGGTAGGTGTATTACATCAAGGGTAACCCGAAGGCCAGATGGTTACAGTCGCGAAGCGACTGGAACCATCTGGTAAAAAAATAGTGTTTGTGTGTGTGTGTGTATATTTGCATGCACTTCCGTTTGGATGTTCCGCACCTACAGCCTCAGGGAAGCATTTTTCGGTAGGGAAAAAACGTCATAGGGTAAAGAAGGGGCCGGAATCGACTGCACACACATAAAAGTTTTGAAAAATTGCTATTTTCGATATTAAAATTAGGTTTTTGTAAAGTTTTCGGCCAACCTCTTTGTTAGGAAGCAATTAGCATACGCCGGAAGTGGAAATGGCTTATAAAAAGGAAGAGAGGGCGCGCATTTCATTTTTGGTGAGCGGTTTGCGGCAAGAATTATGCAAAGTCAATACTTCATCGATCCTAGACGGGACCAGGGTTGAAAAGCCGTGAAGCGGTTTTTCAACCCTGGTCAACCCTTTCAACCCTGGTTCTAGCAAGAAAAACGTGAAAAACGGCTCCTCTGTCCCTTTATATAGGCTCTTCCTACTTCCGGCGCATGCTAATTTCCCCTAACAAACAGGGTTTTACAAAAACCTATTTTGAATAGCGAAAACCGCAATTTTTCAAAAATTTGATGTGTGTGCAGTCGATTCCGGACCATTCTAAACCTATTGTCGTTTCTTCCCTATCCAAAAAACCCTTCCCCGAGGCTGTAGGAGCGGAACATCCTAACGGAAGTGCATGCAAATATACACACACACACACACACACACACACACACACACACACACACACACACACACACACACACACACACACACACACACACACACACACACACACACACAAACACTATTTTTTTATATATAGTAGGATAGTAGGATAGGGGAAAAGTTTTTAAACTGTTTTTTTTTCTTTTGCTAAGCGTAAAAAGGTTACAAATCTTCATTAAACATGCAAAAATATAGAGTTTTTTGACCAAATGTAGACTTTTTGAAAATTTTTTGATAGTTTACAGGTAGTTTTTTTAGTTGTTTTTCGGTTCACCCCCCAATAATGCCAAAGAACCATGAAAAAAACAACTCGCCTGACGGCCACCGTTGCGCTGCTAATTGACGCCCCGTCATTGGCGTAGAGTTGCTCGATTTTTCTGTAATTGGGTGTAGAAATCCCGCCGAATTTCGCCTCGCCAGATCTCATCTCGTCCCACGTCATTTAGCCGAATTTCACGTCACCAAAATTTTTACGAACTGTTTTGTAGTCCTGACCTGCGAAAAAATTGATTTAGAAGAATTCTCTATGTAAAAAAATGTAAAAATTATCGAAAACAAATTCGGCGAAACGAAAGGATTCCGAAAATTGTTAGGTCCGAAACCCACGTTGTTTGATTCGACCGGGGCCTCGGATGAACCCGCAAAATCTGCGTCGGTGCGTGAATCTCCTGAGGGTTGCTTTCCTGGTAGAAATGCCTGAAATAATTATCTACTCCGGTACTTTTCTATAGGAACCTTCCTAAGCTCGCATTTCATTAAAATACCGCTTTTTAAGAGAACAAAAACTTTAAACCGTTATTGCTAAAATACGTCAGCATATTTTTTCGATACCCGGTCACAAAAGCTGCGCAATTTTGCGAAGAAAATTTTCATTTATTTTGTTTTCGATTTTTCTATAAAACGTCTAAGATATTTACTTTATAGCAAAAAAATTTGGGGATTTTCCGCTTGAAGAGTACGAATTACACCGTTCGTGGGCAGTTGAGCGTGTATGGGCGCGCCTCGTACCAACTTTTCTATCCATTCTCACCTTATCTTTATCGGATGGGCCGTCGTAACAAGCGTCCCATCAACGTCAACCCACAGCGAATACGGCATCGTTTTCAGCGAAATTGACTGCAAATATGTTTCATTGCAAAGAGATGCACACCTTCAATTTCTGGAGTTCGTAGTTGACCAGCACTTGATAGATGACAATTTGCTCGGTGAGATGGGAAGCCACGTAAAGGTATCTAAAATCAAAGTAACAAGTCAATTTGGCCTTTGCATAATGGTTAGTGCAGCAGTTCTCTTAGAACATTATACGGTTCTTTCGCATTATCGGGGGGGGGGGGCGAAGAAAATGTTTTTTCTTAGGAGCGCCTTTTTAAAATATTTTTTGAAACCATTGATTGCTATTCTTAAACGGAAAACTTTACAAATTTTTATTAAAAAAAAGCAAGAATATCGACTTTCCGACCAAAAATGGCCGTTTCTTAGCCAAAATCTCGAATTTTTGAAAAATTTAAAGAGAAAAGAAAGAGAATAGTTAAAATCTAGTTTTTCTTACTAAAAACTACATGAAAATACCTCCTATTTAGCTACTAAGTGTCTATCGATTAATACAAAAAATGCCCCCCCCCCGGTAATGCGAAAGAACCTATTATACAAAATAACGCGTGGAATTGCTCGGGACTACTTTTAAGACGAATCTGGACGAAATTTTATGTTGCTCCGACTTACCTTCTCATCAAATCAAAAGCGATGCCGGCGGGCGAAGAAATCGTCGCGTCAACGATCCGTGTCGTCGCCCCGTCGTAAAACAAAACCTGGCCAGTCTCCCAGGCGAACAGCCTAGAACGAATCAGGGGAATTTCGGAAAAGTGCGACAAGCAACTTCTCAATTTTTTGCACCCATGGATGATCGGTGCCGGTGTAGCGTGTTGCGTAGAAACGGCTATCATCTACTGCGGCGACACCACGGAGGCTAAAATGTTCTAGTGAAAAAAAACGGTTCTTTCGCATAGGAAGTATAGCAAATATATATAGGAATTGTTTTTAAACTATTTTCTATTAATCCTAAACGTCAAAACTTTACAAATTGCTATTAAAAACAAAAGAATTATCGACTCTTCGGCCAAATATGGCCGCTTTTGACCAAAATTTCGGCTTTTTAAAAAAATTTAGATTTTTCGAAATTTTATATTCCTATACGTAAAATTTTTCCAAATTGTTATAAAACCTGCAAAAAATTATCGATGTCTGGCCTGGCCGTTTTTGACCAAAATTTCCACTTTAAAAAAAATTTTCCAAGTTTTTAGATAATTTTTCCAGTTAAAATATAGTTTTATTTCACTAAAAACTAGGGTTGTTATACGAGTTGATTCGTTGACGAATTGATTCGTCAAAAATTCAAATGAGTTGATTCGGCAGCGAGTTGATTCGAATAAACCCCGATTCGCATCCGGCGAATGGAAATTTCAACGATTCAATTCGCCAGCGAGTTGATTCGAATCGCGATTTGATTCGCGGCTAATTTGATTCGTTGCTAATGAATCCGCAGCCAAACGAATCAATTCGCTGACGAGTCGATTCGTCAGACGAGTTGATTCGTTGGCGAATCGATTCGTTGCCCACGAATCAGAATCGAAACGAATCGATTCGTCAACGAGTTGATTCGTTTGCCGTTCTGACTCGTCGGAAGTTGTTATATGTTAATGAAAAACGCTATGTAAATCAAAAAACAGCCTTTTTGGGTGTCTTTCGGGGTGCTGTTTGGGGTGCTTTTCGGCAACTCATTTGGGGGTCGTTTGGTAGCATTCCTTCGAGGTTGTTGAAGGCGGCGGACAATTTCGAGACGTTTTTTTCTAACCGCCCTAGCAGGCTGGGCAAAGCTGTTCAAAAACTGAAACTCTTTGGACAGGTAGAATTTTTCTTCTTCTTTCGAATGGTGTCCTCCGTAAGCCAGAATACGCCGTGCAGATGGAGATATGATGGTTTTAGTGCAGCGACAAATTCGTCAGGTACGCCTTTCGGCATTAAAACGCCCCCTTCTCTGTTCCCCGACAGTTTTGAATAAAGGCATGTATACCGTTGGAAAGAGCGTTCAAAATGCAACAATCTAAACGCCATGAAGCAATTTGATTAAGCTTCGCTAAGCTGCTAGGGCGGTTGGAAAAAAACGTCTCGAAATTGGCCGCCGCCTTCAACAACCTCGAAGGAATGCTACCAAACGACCCCCAAATGAGTTGCGAGCGGTTTGGCGTCGATTTGTGCGAACTGCTCGAAAACGAGGCTCATCTTCTGATTTGGCCAAGTTCAGCCAAGCCAGCCAAGTAGATGGCCTAGTTCATAAATTGGCGTTGCCGAAAAGCACCCCAAACAGCACCCCGAAAGACACCCAAAAAGGCTGTTTTTTGATTTACATAGCGTTTTTCATTAACATATAACAACTTCCGACGAGTCAGAACGGCAAACGAATCAACTCGTTGACGAATCGATTCGTTTCGATTCTGTTTCGTGGGCAACGAATCGATTCGCCAACGAATCAACTCGTCTGACGAATCGACTCGTCAGCGAATTGATTCGTTTGGCTGCGGATTCATTAGCAACGAATCAAATTAGCCGCGAATCAAATCGCGATTCGAATCAACTCGCTGGCGAATTGAATCGTTGAAATTTCCATTCGCCGGATGCGAATCGGGGCTTATTCGAATCAACTCGCTGCCGAATCAACTCGTATAACAACCCTACTAAAAACGTTTCTGTCACTAAAAATGATATGTAAATGATATAAAGTAAAAATGATAACATTTAACCTACTCGGCAAAATGGGGGCTTCTGACCGTAGCCTCGTGCTGCAAAACCTTCAAGCCCGTGTGCACCTTGTATCGTTCCACGCTGTCGCCACGCTTTCGATAATTGATGAGGAAAAGCCTAAAAGTAATTCATTCTACAATTACAGAGATCTACTTTTGGTCTTTTTGCTGCCGCTTCTGCTGGTAAGACAGCGAAATCGGGCCCGGATTCAGCTTCTCGGGCCCACCAATCCGGGTCAACTCCCATGAACTTTTGTTGTCCTATAAATTTCGCTGATAAGAGCAAATAAACACAAATTCGCCTTTTCTACTAGGAAACTTTCCAAAAAACTCAAGTCTCACCCACCGTTGACAGCCCAAAAATACTGCCCGCTCGAGTGGGGGCCGTGCGATTTTCCAGGTCTTGGCCCTAAAACACGAATTGCGAATGAGAGAGCTAAAAATCATTAATTAAAAAATATATTAGAGCACTAATAAGACTAACCGTGCTGATTAGAACAATCCCATCAACTGTGGTATCCATTCCAGCGATACCCTCCTCGAAAGCCCCGGCAACTGTACACTCACCGGGCACATGGTTGTACACTCGGCGATTTATCCCCAGGTTTAACCTGTAGAAATATCATTTCCAGGTTCTTTCGTATTAGCGGGGGGGGGGTTGTATTAATAATGAAATCTTAGTAATTTAACAGGAAATGTTTCATAAATGCTTTTAGTAAAATAAAACTGTATTTAGCTAGGAAAACCATCTAAAAATTTTCAAAAACGGCCATTTTTTGGTCGAAAATCGAGTTTTTGTACTCTTTCAATAGAAATTTGTAAAGGTTTTACGTTTAAGAATGATAAAAACAGCTCAAAACACTTCCGCATTTATATTTAAAAAAATTGGTTCCTAAGAAAGAATTTTCATCCCCCCCCCCCCCCGATAATGCGACAGGACAGATTTCCGAACTAATTTCGACACCTCGAAACGATAAAGACCCACAGTCCACACCCAAATTGATAGGCAACAAGCGAGATTATCGATAACGCGATTAGCGGCAAAAAATTGCTGAGCGCCGACATCGTTTTGGAAGAATTTCGGGGGTAATAAGGGCTCACTGAGGCCCAAAACGGGCTTGCCATATGTTGCCCAGCCGGCAACCATGCATTTTTCATTGCGACGCTTTCTCCACGCCTCTTTTCCATTATTCAGTCAAGATTTTGGCAAAACGTCGTTAGAATGCTAGCCGAAAAAGCAGGATAAATTTAATTCATGGAGCCCATGTCATATTTTTTACTCAAATTTTATAATTCGGGTGCTTTCGTCTTATCGGGGGGGGGGGCGAACTTTTACATCAGTACCCAATTTTCAACATATAAATAGAGCAAGTGTTTCTACTGTTTTTTTATTTAGGTTTTTTCCGCTGAAAAGATAGATAAATTATACTACAAGCAAATCAATAAAACAATCAAAAACGGCCATTTTTGGTCGAAAAATCCATATTTTTTAAATGTCTTAATCAAAATTTGTCAAGTTTTTACGCTTAGCAAGAACAAAAAAAGGGCTGTGGTTCAGTTTACTCCCTCCCCTCCCCCTCCCCCCGCCCCAGCCGACCCCACCTACCGTATCTCGGCTCCCCTGTTTATCTACAGGCGTGTCAAGTATACCAAAATACTCGCGAGAGCAAGGCAAACATTTTGGTATACTTTACACACCTGCAGATCAATAGGTAATCGAGATACAAAAGTTGGGTGCCTGGGGGGCAAACTGAACTCTTGCCAAAAAAAAAGTTTAAAAACACTTCCGCTATTAATATTTAAGAAATGATGGTTACTATGAAAAACATTTTCCCCCTATTTCTGCCCCGTACGTAGTATTGGTTCGTCAATACATATAATTCTTTATTCACCCGAATTGCGAATAATTATGGAATAGACCCGTTTGGCAGTTGATCACATCGTAATGTTTTCGCTAGCGAAGAAGCCCCAATCTTGTGATGAGCACATGGCCCAGTTCCGCGTCGGCAGTGGCGACGACATCACCCGGCTTGTCCTTGTCCTTTATGCACAAATTCACCGTGCAGCTCACTTCTCCCTGAAATACGGAAGCTTGGCTTGACTGATTTGTTTTTGCCAACCTTGAAGCGCTGCAGGTGAGATAGTAGAACCCTGACGGATACCCCTTCTTCATCGTCTTCAAAAATTCTTGCTTTTGACACGGTGACGAACTACAAATCAGTTTTAAATTTTTGACTTAAACCCGCACTTACATCCGGAAATTCGAGTAACGCCAGGTGCGACCTGGCATTTTCCGACAAAGGCGCCTCTTCATCAACGTCTTCTTCCCTCAAAATATCACCCACTGAGGAGTAGACATAGACCTAAATTTTTGGTATCGGTTGTTATCGGCCGATTTGATGCTCACCTTGTTGGTGAAGTGGCCGCAAAAGTCGAAAAAGACGGTGGCCTTCAGTTTGTGTTCGTGAAAGCGCACGATGACTGGATTGGGAAGTTCTAGAAAATTTATTTTTTGAGTGTATCGCTCGCGCGATTTGTAAATTCGAAATTTATAAGGTTAAACTATTTTTTAAGGGTATAATTACTTAATACACTTTGCACTTTGTAGTTTAGCGTTGTAGAAGATCCAGTAGACAAAATAGCGATGATGGGCAGACTAGCACTTACAACATCAAATTATTAATTTCACCTCGTTATTACCTTAATAACGTGGTATAGAGCGAGTACGTTTAGTTTTTTGCACTTTATACTGCATACTTTCTAACTGGTGTAACCGTAAACGCAGACATTCTCCCACCCCCGCTTTTTAAAGCTGCTTACCGTGCATTAACCGCCAATGTATCGTGTGATGATCGTAGGATGCGGTGTGCCCATCGAAAATCAACTCGTCGTGCAGACTCCTGGCATTAAATTGGTCAAAATAAAGTTAATAAGATCAAAAAGGTATGAAAATACTCAAGAATTTACAATTTTTATGATTTTCTTGCATTTTTATGAGGTTTTGGCGGTCAAAAACTACTAAAAACACTTCAAAAAAAACTATATGCGCTGAAACGGCTAGATATCGCCGCTAACAACCCAGCACCTTTTCATGGCGCAGATTCGGGCTTGTTCAACTAATATCCGCTAGTCAACTGTCTGTTTTCCCCACCTTGGTTGTGTCATTGTCGACCTGAGCTCAGGGATTTGCACGGCCATCACCCGCGCATCGTTTTCAATATCTAAATAAACTTGCAAATATTTTTATTTTTTAATCGTACCTCTAAAAACCCGATTCAACATGTCGATCACCGACGTATTCACCGGCAAGTGATTCTGAAAAAAACTTTAAAACTTCGAACGCCTTCAATACCTTCAAATACTTCATGAACACGCCGTTGATTTCCCCGCGAACCTCGTAGGCGCCGACGCCGCCGCTTCTAAAAGAATTCAGCTGGAATACGCCTGGCGAATCTCACGTTGAATATCCATAGATTGTGTTCCGATTTGGTCGAAGCCGACGTTTGAACTGCTCGGCGTAGTCGACAAAGCCCTTCACCGCTTCAAGCCTGGGATACTCGCATTAGCGATATACGGTCACACGTACGGCAAAAATTTCCTGCACACGTCCAGCAGAATCAGATGCAGCGCCGGGGTCTGATCGTTGAAGACGCTGAGCACCCAGTCCATGCTGACGCATTTTTCCGGAGTATGCGCGTCTTCAGGAGCGTCTGGAATGGGTTATTTTTGCGACCGGTTAAGCAACCATTCTTAAAAACTTCAATAGCTTACCAATTGGTAACAAATAGCACTGTCCATTCACCTCGAAACCGTGGCCGACAAAGTAGAAGACCGCTGTAAATTGCCCAGATATTTTCGCGCTTTTCTTTTACCGTAAACTCCGTTGCCCAGCAGTTTTTTGTACTCGCGCACAATCTTCTGCATCTCCTCCAACGTCAAATCAGCCAGGGTCACCGTTTTGAACTTGATATCTTGTAGGCTCTAAGATGTTATTGATGACGTTGAATTTTGTTAGATTTCTGTGCGATAGAAAAGGTGAAGATTTAGAAAACCCAAAGTTGAAAGAACAAAACGAAAAGCTAAAAAAGTAAAAACCTGGGCCAGCGCTTCCGCGTCGCACAAGGGCGTCACCAACTCGGGCAAGTTTCGATACGAACAATTTGAGATGATCAGAGCCACCTTATCGGTCGCATGCAGACTCGCCACCGTGTCCAGCACTAAAAAAAGCTATATTTCGAAAGTTTCAACCCCTACCTCTCCGCGCTGGTGTCGGTGTTTCGGTCTCGGCCTGGTTGAGCGTGCCCATCGTCTCACAAAGCTTCTGATACTCCTGACTCTCGCATTGTTCGCACCGATTGTCGTCGCCAATGAACGCCTCCAACTCTACGACGCCGGATTCGAGATCGGAACTGAAAAAAAGGGTATTTATAAGAACCTACAAATCAAATTACCTATACATCTTCCCCGGCTTTCGATAGTGGTCGCTATTCGGCAGGCCGGGCGGTACTTCGTTCCACGCCTTGCAGTTGTATTGGGCTACCGTCGAGCATTTGCATCTGAAAAGCAAGGCGTTGAAACAATCGAATAACTTCGTTTCGTTAAAAAAATATATGTTACCAATCTTGAAAGTTTACCTTGGTAAAATCAACGTATCCGTATTGACGCCGTCCATCGCCACCCCTCCGCAAAGCCATTGGAATCGAGGATAGGGGAAACCAATCACTAAAATATTAGATTTAGACCTATTTTAATAGCATTTTCATAGTTACGTTACCTATATGAAAAGTATTTAATTACAATACAGATAACACTTCTTTCGAAGTATTAGTAATCAACCAATACAACTAAATCAAACCTTTACAAACGAGCTGCATCTCGGTGCCATCAGAAATGATCGAAATCTCGACCTTCTCGCTCTTCGCCCATCGTACCGCTTCTATTTGGGAGTAAATCTTTGAAAATTGAACATAAATAACCTACTAAAAGCCCGGTTCAGCACCAATTGCGGCCGGTCCATTAGTTCGCGGTGCACCCTGGACAATGCCTAAAAAGCTTGGCATTTTTGTGATATATGTATCTATATATCTGCGAATGTGTGTGCCTTACCTGCAGGCGAACCAGAAAATGCTGCACGGTTTGACCGCGCGTTCCCCAGATTCTAAGCAGCGTCTCGGCCGGATCGGGCAACCTGGCGTACCGCTCCATTTCGTCGGCGCTAAAAAATTTACGTCAAAATTGCTTTTTGTTATCTTTTTTTAAAACCAGAATATCTAGCATAAACCAGCAATCCACAGCGATTCGCCCATCTAGCCCACCTCAAATAGTATACATTTGACTTCTCCCCGTCGAGCAGCTTCACCCATAGCTGGCCAGCATTCAGGCAGTCGCACAATTGGCGGAACAGCCCGACCGGTAGATCGGCTAGATTAGTGGCTAGCGTGCCCATCTAGGGCTCACTGCGGGGCCACTTGTATACCTGAATCGTGAAAACGTTACGAAAACTTCCGAAATGGTAACGAGATTTAACTTGGAGAAACTTTCGACTTAGGCTTTTATCAATGGCTTTGTCTTTAACGAGACAGCTTTTTTAAAAACTTATAATTTTCAGAGTTCCTAATCCTAGTTCTATAAAAGCTTTTAGTCTTCTTCGATGGAATAAGCTAAAGTTCGTGCTATGAAAATTATTTTTTTAGTCGTCGAATAGGGCAATCAGCCAATATTGCTATGGTTTATGTATATAACTGAAAGTATTTGGATCGTAACTAAAGAATGCTGCTATAAGGTATGCTCTGATAGCTTAAACTACCGATTACGATGTATTACTTTTAACACAAAAGACGATTTTTATTATCATACAAACTTTACTGAGAAAATCTACTTCCGATCGGATCCGACATTTGCTAACGCCAAGCCGGCTAGCCGCTGGTTTTCTATTAGGCTGCTCCAAACAGCCACCATTTGGCGAAACACCCAATAGCTAACCTTTTAATTTTGTTAATTTTAACACACTTCATCCTTAAAATTCCACTTTTGGACGCTTTTCGCTAATCCCCTGCCGATATTTTGTGTTGTTTGTGGTTGAGTCCCCTTGCAGAGGGTACTGGCAACGTGCCAGCCATGCCTACCATTGCCCCCTCCACACAATGCCCACTCTCTCGTCTCTCTTTCGAGGCGAGAGGGAGAGAGGGGCCCCCCGATGCGTCGCGTGTACCTTTTGCGTCGCGCGCGTCGCGTTTTGTGCAGTGGACCCGCGTTCTACGCCATCTAGCAACCCCCATAAAGCCCTGGAATACATGCCCCACGGCTTCATCTATTCGAGATACACTTTACGCCCTATCCGGATACCGTCACGCGACTCAGGGGTGTGACGTCGGCCGGTTGTTCCGGCTAACAACCCCCGATTATACTTTCCGAATCGCGCTTTCTGTTCTTTGGCTCTGTTTGAACGTTCTCGCCCCCATTACTGACAGTCGGTTTAGGGAAATTTGAGGTTTAGTCAGGGTTTTTATCCAGCTTTTTGTTCGTCTGTTTGGCATACAGCCGAAAATTACCTAAGCGAGACCTTGTTACGCTTTTGAAAGACAAGGCCCTGGCGTTTCAATAGCTAACCATAAAAAAGCTTCAAATGTTTTCTTTTCTGTTATAACCCTCGATAGGCATTAGTTATAACTACCCACTGACAATGAAAAAAAAAGCTTAAATTGTGGGCTTTTTTTTATAATACTCGACCTGTGACTACTAAGACTAATGTGCCGACTAGCTGCTAACAATAAAAAAGCTTGAATTGTGAAGGATTTGCTTTTAGAACCTTAGAAGAAATTAGTTAGAGCTAGGGTTCTAACGTTTGCTAAACCTTTACGACGCTCGATTTATCTCGGCTTGTCACGACCCCTTTCTTATAGTTCTATTTTCGTCTAATTTTCACTTGACTTTGATTAATATCATTTTTCAGCGTGTTCGCGACAACTCACCACCTAGCAGCCGACCTGGTTGCGCCACACGCAAGTTTTGTGAAACACTCGGGATATGGAGCCGGCCGTCACTTCACAGGGATCCACTAATAATGGGTATGTCTGGAACGAGTTTTCAAAATCTTCCACTAATCCACCCTATGTCTGCTGAACGATCTTCTAAATATTTTCAGATTCCGCGTGGAAAAAGGACGGCGGAATGCGAACGAGTACCTAAACATTGACCCGTCGTCCGCGTTTATTTCCGGGTCCTCCGGGATTGATGACGGATTCCCGGACAACTTTCTCGAGACGATCAGCCCCCAGCAGGTGATTCCTAGCTTCTTGCAGGTGTGGCTTTAGAACCCCGTTTTAACATCGTCCATTAACTATCACAAAATTTAACGTAAAAAATTGGCTTCGAGATTATTTCTTCTTTTGCCTCAAGGTCGACAGGATGATTTTTGAACCATGAGCTATGCGGTGGAGCTGCTTTTCTAAAATGCTTACGTGGTGTTGCGTGGTTTTCAACCTTACACCCTGACCGCTTAATTAACAAGTTTAATAATAATAATAATAAACATTAAGTTTATTATTAAGCTTTTGGCACCTAATAACTTTATATAACCCGCTGGATGTTAGCATCCTACGTCCCATGCCTCCCGCCGGCAAAACCTGACGCGCCAAAGGCGCCCCAGCCACCCCAGCCCCCACGCCCGTTTGGCATGGTGGCTAGCGTGCCGGACTAGCGCCCCGGCGACCCGGGTTCGACCCCCACCCGTGGACAAGACCAAAATGATCAGGGATGACGACACAATTAGCTCCATCTGATTGTCAGTGCTGACCCCTTATTCGTACTGTCTGACCTGATCGCTTTTTTGTTTTGCGTCTTGTTTGACCTTTTACGGTTGTAGAGACCGGGATCGTTGTCAGGGAACCAGACCCCCCTTTTATTGTCTCACTAATGAGGTATAGAGAATTAACCGACCGCCTGGCTGTTTTTAATAATACAAACATTAATAGAAACGTTTTAAAACCTTTAAACAGTATGTAAATAGCATTGTTAGACGCTAAGAAAGTTTTTGTATAAGATTTGGCGATTTGAAAAGAATGCATTAAAAGGGTACTAGAACTTTATTACTACATGAATATTGTGGTTTTATTAGCTTTATGACCAGTAGCTAGTAGTTGATTTATTTTATTTGTGTTAGAAAACAGGAGATTTCTTTTACCCACTCAACAACGATGCAGAATTTGCTTGTTACAGTCCTTGAATATGCTCTATTTTCTAGGCAACGGCACCGCTTCCGGCGATGCTCCACGGCGACACAGCGACTTCAAGCCCTCAACTGGCGCCACTCGCTCCGATGACGATCGGTACCGATCAAAGGTATCAGGTTTTCTATTACAAGCCCTAACCTAGTTTTCTATGCTAGGCGAAGCCGTTTTTTATGAAAATCTAACGATCTTTTCCAGCTTTCGCGACGGCCCAGCCGGTCTGCTCTCCCCGCTACATATGGATGGGCGGCGACACTCTGTCGGCGCCAATGAGTATTCTCGCGGCGTCTACATCAAGGTTCGCCACCAGCCACCCCAGCACCGCAACCGGATGTACCCGGTTTACGGGCAAAATCCGTATCCGACGTCGTGTGCCGCACAATATGGCCTTGCGCACCACGAGCACGGACACTATTTTGGGCAGCAACCGCCAGAATACCCGCCATGCACTGCACCCTATTACAGACAGCCACACGTCATTGATCGCAAGCCAAAAATTGAGGTTGTGTTTTGTGGGTGGGGCCGGGGGCGAGGCTAGGAGGAGTGGTTAGGATTTTTTTCATCGATTCCGGAAGTTACGCCAACGTGAATTACGCCAGAATTCATTTGTTCTACAGTTATAGATGTAATTTCGTAGTAAAAGCATAGTTTGTCGGCTTATTCTATTTCGCGGCACTTTGACTTTTTACCCCTTCAAATTCGCCCTTAAAATCAAGATTTATAATCACTCCTAGCGTCGCCCCACCCATTTTTTCGGGCGTTGCGTTGTACAAGCTATATTGGAGATTTTTATAGATCTAAATATTTTTTTCATATTTCTTTTCGCTGCCAAACGCCTAAAAACCCATTTCTTGTACAGATCAACGGTCCCGCCCCGGTTCCGATGCTTATTAAACCCGCTCCTTTAGGAGGAGGCCGACATCGAGCCCTCGCACCATTTAATGCTCCCCTCGAACCAGGTGATTGGCCACAACCAAGCCGACCTCGACCGCGCTAACGCCGCGACCCCGCCGGCGCTCAGCACCGCCGAATTGGCATCGAACATGATTTCGAGCATTATTGGCGATCCGGTAAGGAATTTGTTATCGGAAGAGCCGGGTTTTTTGGATGGATTTACTAGGGAGGCCCAGGGTGGCCAGATAGCGAGCCGACGTGGCCGATTCTGGTGCTGATGATATCCATATTGCTAACAATGCTATAGACTTTTTAAATTCGGGAGACACATGCTCAAAATCGAAAACCACAACATTTCAAAGAGTTGAGCGTGCATGGCTCTAGTTTTCAGCTCATATAATAGATCTTGAAAATAGATAAATATCAGCATCGTGGGTTCGATATTTGTGCCAATTTTACCGCGCTTTAAATTATAAATCCTGGCAAAATACACGACGATAAATTCTTACAAACTTCGTTAACGGTATGCTAATAAATTCCAGAATTTTCAGCATCTACAAGGCGGCGACTCCCCCGTCCACCACTACACGTCGGTGCCGAGCGGGTCGATGGTGCTGTCCCGGTTGACGGCGATGAAGACGGTGAATCCTTTTCCGTTGAATGTCGTTGACGCCCACCACGTATGCCCTACTAATTTGCGTCGCCCGCCCCCGGGGGGTTGGGATGGTCTGGCAACGCTTTGAAAACGTAGAAATCTACCGGCCAAAAAGCACATGACCTACCCAACCCGAGACTTTTCAACGAGCGCTCTTCGCAACGTAGTTAAAGTTTTTCCAGGACGACGACGGCCTCGAGGGTCCCCACACGAACGGCGATCACGTGATCAACGGCGAGTCGACCGTCTACAAACCCGCCTACAACAAGGGTGAGTAGGAGCTTCGGCTCTTGCTTTTTCGCCCAAGTCACGGCATTTGTGGCCAAAAATTTTCTGAAAAATCTGCTTTATTATTGCTAGTGCTAATTTTTTGGTAGATATTTTTGGTATTAACAAACTTGTCCTAGATAACTTCCAATTTTTTTAAAAGATTGATGTAATGCAACGTTTTTAAACATAATTTGAAAGACGGCAAGTGTCGTGAGACCGCCGTGGAAGACACTAATGAATGCCCGGGGCCTGGCTATTTCTAGCTGCTGCTCCTGACTGACTAATTAGGCCGTCGTGCGTTAATGGGGTAATTGGTTGGCATGTGTCCTGTTGCATTTCTGTCCCAGTGCTGAACAGTTCACTATTTTTAAAATCTGCAAAAAGCCTTGAAAACCCTTATAAGCAAGCCCAAATTGACCAAAATTGAAGATTTTGCAGCGTTTTTCGTGAGTTGGTTTTAATTTCGTAATTTTAAAAATCATAAAATTCTCAGCGTTGTACCGGCGTCAATTTTGAGCCCGAGCTAGGTGCTGGCCTATTTAGCATCTTCTAGTTAGTAGCAGTCGCCCTGAAAATGGGCAGGGTGAGACCCCCATTTGTGTCAACATGAAATAGGAACTCCAACGCCCGTGTGCCTTCACATACCCCCCGTTGCTACCTAATGCATTTACCCGGGGTTGCTCCGCCCATCCCTTCTCCCGCCTCAGCCCCGCCATGGTCAAGGTTGGGCCGTAAAATTTGGACGTGAGTATGGCTAGGATGGAATGACGCGCGCTCACCTACAAAAAAAGCACACGGAAGACAACACCGAGATAGCATCGCGCAAATAGGCAAATGCCACGGGTTGGCATCTCGAGAATGTGCATTTCAGCCCTCCGTGAAATTTAGCGTGAAAATTGGTGAGGGGCTTCCATAAATCACCTATTATCAGTTGTTTGGCTGCCCCGTTCACCATAGCCAAATCGGGTTCTGGGTCGTTAGCAGAGGGGAGGGGGGGAGTTTAATGTCGTAGCTTTTTCGTTATTTTTCGACATTATGTTGCCCATATTAGATAGAGAATCAAAAAAATATACTAGGAGTTGTATATACAGCTCAAAATAATGTAATTTAAGCTAAACGAAGCTATTGAACGAAACTGTTTCCCCCGCTAACGAACCAGAACCCGAAATTGGTATCCTCCCCAATTCCCGACAATTTAATGACTCTTTTTATTTATTTATTTGATTTTAGTTAGATAGATCATAGATTTAGATCGGTTCTATAGGCGCAATTCGGGGGAAACAGGCTAATTAGTTTACAACGCTGGAGAAAAGCCGATGCTTAGGCTTGGGAGCACGAGCTCGAAATTTGCACAATTATGGAACCAAGGATGCTGATCATTTTTCGGTTTTTATAAACTTTGATACGGGGGCTTAAAACTATTTAAGCGAGCGCAAAAGGTTCAGTTTTTGGTGCCGTTTTTGCCTTATAAATGCCTAGAGCAAATTTTGAGAAAAGAGAAACGCGTGGCGTGGTTCATTCCAAATTTTTGTCAGTTTTCCGGGCCTTTCGGCTTTCCCTGGTAAGCCATGTGCGGGTGATTGTTGTGGGATCTCTAGGGGGAGGGGGCATGGTTGTTTATGGACGGCCCGCTGGGGCATCGCCCTCGGCATAAAGGGGCGGCCCCTCGGACTCGTAAATTTTGGGCCCTTCCCCGTCTGGGTCCTCCATGCTATCCTGACCCTACGGCCTTCGTAATCTCTACGCCCTCCCAGCTGGGCCCGCTCTCTCGCGGGTTTATGCATCGGGTGTGGGGGGGGGGGGGCTTGACTCCGGCCGGCGGAAAAGCTTGGCACAGCCAGATAGTCGCCGCTGATAAGCTGGCTTGGGGCGGTGTTCGGGCAACTCGAGAGGGAAAGCGCGCATTTAAAGGGCCCGTTGCGGCCATTTAGCTTTTTCGAGGAGTCAACGGAGAATAGAGGACGAGACTTCTTGCAAGGGGACATTTTTGAGTGACAATCAATTTCCTGTACGGGACTAGGCCTATCTTGTGCAGAATTTTTGCGCTGATTCCGAGCCAGTTTTGAAAAGCTGCGACACAATCAGGCTGAAAAAGTTATGAAGCTTTTTAGGGGGGAAAAGGCAAAAAATTTCTGGTAATTGGGCGATTTTCAGGCCTTTCGCACTGAAAAAGGTTCCTAACTGTTTGAAGCTTATTGTTCCGTAGATTTTGAACACATGCTCGGAATCGGTGCAAAATTTTGCACAAATTAGGCCAGAAACTCGATTGTCACTCAAAAACGCCTCCCTGTTAGCCCGTGCGGAAACAATGGCAAAATGATGGTAGAGCTTGATCTGAAAGGGACAAATATCGGAACAGAAAAACAGTTTCTTTTGGTTAAAAACTACCAACTGAAGAGGTATTTTATTCCCAATTTCCAGGCAAACGAACCTACTCAACAAAGGACGCCAACGACCCGTTGAACGCCGAGATTGACGATGACATCTATATTGACACCAAGGTACATTTGCCAGTTCATTTTTCATGCTTGTTACCTTTCTAGGAGCTGTGTAAACGAATCGCCTACGAGCTGAAGCAGCACTCGATCCCCCAAGCCATCTTTGCCGAGCGGATACTTTGCAGGTCGTTTCACCTCTGGAAACCGGTACAATCTTCCTCTTTTTCAGAAGTCAGGGCACGTTGTCGGATTTGTTGCGGAATCCCAAGCCGTGGAACAAGCTGAAAAGCGGGCGCGAAACGTTTCGCAGGATGTTCAACTGGGTGCGGCAAGGGCTCGAGGATCGGCTGGCCATTTTGGATATGGTGAAAGGTAATAATGTGATGCATTGATTCGATAGAGCATCACAAATTTACTAAGGGTTTTTATTTAAGCTAAAAAGGGCGTATTATAAAAAAGTTACACCATAAATAACGCTAGTCTCCGATTTTTCGATATTTTCTTAAGGTTTTGCGAACACCGTTTGATAGCACGTCAAAGATAGAAAATGGTAATGTCATGAAAAAATCGAACCAATACCCCCTCCCGGAAATAGAACAGTAACTGTTTCTTTCATTATTCTTCGTCCCAACTTGGGACTCCCAAGTAATAACCTTGGCTGCCGGGGTACCCCAGTTCTCTTAAATCCGGTTCTCGCGAGCGTTTTTTTGTTTGTGCCGTTGCCCGGCTCGTCCTACCCGTCCCTTTATCGGCTACAGTTCACTCGCGTTCCGTTTATCTCTCCTTCTCAATGTCTCTCCAGCTTCCCCGCTCTCTCCTCACCTGTCAGCCAATAAAAGACGAAAAACCCGGCCGCCCATTCACCCGTTCGCCCTGCGCGCGGGAGCGCCTTGCCAACGATTTTCGTGGAATTTCATGCAGTCCATTTTGCCGGGGACCGTTATTATAATCTAGCTTATTTGGGGTTTATTAATTTGGTGGTGTGGAGGTGCTTTAAAGATCCCTTTTCGTACAAAAATTTGATGGTCGCAAGACCAACTTATCCACTTCTGCTAATGAATTTGGTCTTAAACCCCTGGAACAACCGTCTACCTGAATTGCCATTAATGAGATAAAATTCAAAAAATTAAATAAATAAATTTTTCACTAACTGAACATTCTCGTTGGATTTATCTGGATTTGGAGCTATCTTTATCCAACTGCGATAACTCGTTTTTTTCAGATGGTGAGAACGGTGCCGCGAAAATGGGCATGTCCCCGCCGACACCCGCCCAAAACGTCCGGCATCACACGAGGGCACGGAATTCGGGCCTAGGTATCCATTTTTCTTGATCTAATCGAGACAAAAAATTTATTGATGTAAAATGATGTATAGCACGTTGCCGAGATCCGGTCTTACCTATCGTTTTTCAGGCGACGGCGAACCGTCAAACAAACGCCCCCGGCTCGTCTTCACCGACATCCAGAAGCGCACGTTGCAGGCCATCTTCAGGGAGACGCAACGGCCCTCGCGCGAAATGCAACAAACCATCGCCGAGCATCTGCGATTGGACCTGTCCACCGTGGCCAACTTTTTCATGAATGCGCGGCGGAGGAGTCGGATTGGGCCCGGCAATGACGAGCCGGCGCCATATCAACAGGTGAGGCCGATCAGCGTTGTTTACCTGCAATCAGATTGATGCCAAAATCGAAGTAAATATGGACTAGATCATGCTGATCATTTGCTGGTTTTTAAATTTGCTAAAATAATTTAGCACGCGAGGTTTTGCCCTAGATATGTGCCATGCTCATGATTAGTAGATTTTCCAGGTGCGACCGATCACACCGCCACCAGACAGCCCTCCTCGCGTCCCCCCAGCAGCCACGATCCCAAATCGGAATCGCAACTCGAGGCCCAGCGCCTCCAGTGCGGCGTTGATCGAGCAGACGGTACTCGTTCACTCTATTTTATCACGACCGTTATTTTTAGGTTAACGGTGTGGCCGATGGCACGTATCCGTGCTCGTCGAGGAAATTGGACGAAGAGCTGGCGGCTTCTTCACTTCAGCATATGCACCAAATGGGAGCCGTCGGCTATAAGGTGAGCGCAAGCCTATCTTTGCGCTAAACTTGCATTATCGGGGGTGAGGGCTGGGTTTTTGTTTTGGATTCAAAGTTTTAAAGTTATTTTTCGACCAGCAGGGGGTCCGTTTTCAACAAAATTCGAACCTTTTCTTTTATAACTCGTATTCGTACTCGTTTCTTTCAATGTAAATATAATAGAAGAAGCATAAAATAGCTTTCCAGTGGAGAAAAGCGTTATTAAAAATACTCAGTATGACGTTATTAGACGTATCCAGGGACGTAGCATAAGGTGGGCCCCCGAAATCGGCCGGGGCCCGAAAATTTCATAAAGGGGGACCCTTATGATTTTGATTTTCTCAAAAATTTTGCTGCCTGCGGCGCTATTTTTTCACGTTTTTACTGCTATTTGTAGAGCTATATTGCCTCTTTTACCTAAATTTTTCGCCTGCGGCGCTGTTTTCTCGTTAATCTTTTGAGTTTTTCGAAAAAATTTTTTCGGGCCCCCCCCTGAAATTTTTTTCTGGCTACGCCCCTGGACGTATCTGAACGTACGCGAAAATTTGAGTCCCCCCCGTAAATGCCAAAGCTCTGACGGGCCATCAATATCCAATGCCAAAATCAAGGCCCTTTAATAAACGCAATTTCAGAGTTCCGAAAAGTCCAGCGAGCAACTGAACGGCGGCCCGTCTTCCGAGGAGGGACGCGTGATCGTGGATGGAGAAGTAGATGGATCGGGCGTCGGCCAACGGCTCTTCCTCATCAACCGTTATCAAGCCGACGCTGAAGAACCGGGCGCACAACCCGATCACGACGTCCAGCCGCCGCTTGTCACGTATACGGTGCCAGACACGCCTGGCGATGACTCGACTGCGGTAACTTTTTCGATTAGCGATAATTAATGTTACTAGAAATGGTACCACGTCTACCTGATGCTCAATTTTTTTTACTGAGCCTGAATCCGTTTCAAAAAAATTGCGGAGTGACGGTCTTTCCAAAATAAAAACAAACGCCGAAACGTGCTATCTAGTTCATCCGTTATTGTTTTCGGGCTATTTTTGCCTGGCTATTGCATTGCGCTACGCTAAAATGGCTTGTAACTTTGAAAATAGCTTGATGCCGCATCGTTTGAAAACAGATTCCTGAACAACGCAAAATGCCGCACACGAAGGGCCTGGCTCATTCTAAAAAGGATCGATTTGTCTGCGTGATTATCTATTTCATTTATTTAGACTCCTGCCTCGGCACCAGCACCCCCATCCGCACCGCCCGTCACCCCGGAACGAACAGCAACCAGCGTAGCTGATGTCAAGGTAGCGCATCATTTCGCCCATCTTACATACCTTCTGCTTTTCAGACGGAAGCAGAATCTGCAAAATCGGGCGACGACTAGCCGACGGCAGCGCCCCACGGCCACTCGACCCGCCCGCTGTACCCTACACTCTGCGAAGCGCCTTTGTAATAACCTCTCCATTCCCGGCTTGCACTTGGACCAAACGGGGGGGCAAGGAAGTGGCACGTCGTATTTGGCAGCGCTTTTCGTTGAATTACGGCCAAAAATAACCATTTTTGAACCCACGAATTTTGAAAAACAGAGCCGATAAGCCTCGGCCAAGTTAGCTTCCCCCGACCCTTGCTTGCCCCCCGATTCACCCCCCTCCATTTTGCCACAATACCCTCACTTGGTCGCGTCCCGTGCCCTTTTCCCGTCTCGTCGACTTGCCATCGTATAGTCAGTTACAGAGCCCCTCTTTCAGCCTCCTATTCCCCACATTTGCAGCCTCTCGCGAACCGGGACCGGGCAGCCATTTCGAAATTGGCCGCCTGTCGATTTTAAAAATTTGCCATCTAAAAATTTGGCTGTTCGGTCCTTGAAAGTGACGGGAAGCGTGTCTATGGATTTTTCGGCTATGGATACGCCCTAGATTTTGACTCGGCGCGACACGCAACGCACGCGCCCGCATTTTCATTGCGTACATGAATTGCAGCATTTCCTAAAAACCCTATATATTGACAGAATAGCATCTGGCCGGATGGTAGTTGCACCATTTTAAAGCCCCTTCATATTCATGTTTTCATCGAAGCCTGAAATTTTTGTGGCGATTTTGCGAGAATTTTTGTCGTTTATGGGCTTTCGAACGGTGTAACTGGCATTCTGAGCCGCCATTCGTCAAACGAGATAGAGTGGTGTTTTGCTCTGGAAAACCTGTACAACCCTATCCAATGCCACACGTGTCATTAGCGCGAAAAAATCTACCCGAATTCCAAAGCCGAAAAACCAACAGCAATCGCTTGCCCGTCCCTTTAAACTTTCTCCTCCTCGCCTATACTGATCCCAAAAAAACACGCGCGCAAGGAGTTTGCCGCCCTGGCATCAATGCTACATGTGATTAACCGCTTCCCCCCTTTTGTTCGTTCCTATTTTGATATGTTGCTTTCTTTCATATATACCGTAGCGCGCCCTCGGTTTGGTTGGAAATAAAAATTAGTGGAATTATCTCGCAATTTGCTCGCCCGCCCCCTACCAAAGCCAAAAGTGCCCTCCCTCCGTTCTACCCCGAATTAGCAATGTTTTACGCGTGTAAATGCGATTCTCGGGATTGTAGGCTATTAGGCTGGAAATTGAGTTTGAAAAATAGATTTTTCTCGACATGAATTTTGTTTTTCGATACCTAATTACCGATTTCCGGCCAAAATGACGACATTCGAAATGACGACAGCCAAAATGACGACAGCCAGAATACCGACAACCAAAATGGCGACATTCAAAATGACGACAGCCAAAATGACGACAGCCAGAATAGCGACAGCCAGAATGACGACAGCCATAATGACGACAGCCAAAATAGCGACAGCCAAAATGGCGACATTCAAAATGACGACATTCTAAATGCCGACATGCAAAATCAGCCATAATAGCTGGGAAAAATCAAATTTTTGCATGTCGTCATTTAGAATGTCGTCATTTTGAATGTCGCCATTTTGGCGGTCGCTATTTTGGCTGTCGTCATTTTGGCTGTCGCTATTTTGGCTGTCGCTATTCTGGCTGTCGCTATTTTGGCTGTCGTCATTATGGCTGTCGTCATTCTGGCTGTCGCTATTCTGGCTGTCGTCATTTTGGCTGTCGTCATTTCGAATGTCGTCATTTTGGCTGTTTCCCCTAATTACCGTCGAAATTGCAGTTTTTGTAAGGTCGATTTTCCGCTATATTCGTGTCTTTTCGCCAACGAATTGAAACGAAAATTGGGGATTATAAAAGATTTTTGTGCTCTTTCCTAATAGGCTTTTGTGCCGGTGATCGGATTTATACGCGTAACATCCACCTCCTCGTACCCCAAATGGATACCGTTGCCTTCATCTCTCGAAACCAGAGAAAAAGAAATGCCTCGACGCGTTGTGTCACCACCTCCTTGTAATTCGATCCAAATACCATATATTATTATTTTTCTATGAATTTTATGGCTGTTTCTCGCTCTTTTCCTCGCCCAGTCTCCCCATCTCTCCATCTATAGATTCCAAAATGTCGATAGAAGTGCCGTGTTGATATCTTACGCCCTTTCTCCCGGAAACGAGAAGCCTTGTGTGTGTTTTTTCTGTACCGGCCCACCCATTTTTCGCGGCGGAACGCTACTGCATTTATACATTTTTGCCCCTTTTCCCCATTGCAACATCCACACACGCCCTCCTCCGATTGTCACCAATATGATGCGTCCTTTTTGTGTCTGATTTTTGTCGTACCAGCGTTGTCGATAGACCATTCTCGTCCAAATACACTTATGTAGAATTTTTTGACGACGTATCGCACCTGATGATATCCCAAGACGAACACTTTTCACACTCGATTAGACCCTACCACGGATTTAGGAGTGGACGATGACTACACGACTGGACGATGACTACACGATGCTCCAAACGACGTTTATACATAATTAAGTCGTTGCAAGATTCGGAACCAAGCTTTGGTCAATTTGAGCGCGTTTGAGCGCTTTTTGTGTCCTCCTAGAGCGTATTAAAATTAACATAAACGTTGGTTTAAACTTTCCCCTGCGCTTGGGAAAATGTAAAAATCGTTAGAGCTAACCCGAAGTGGTTTTCGGTGCTTTTGGAGTTTGGAAATTTGGCATAGATCATACGATAGAGCTTCAAATTGTGAGCAATTTGTTCTTTCCAAAGCTACTGAGGGGTTACGGTGCTCAAGGAAAAGTTGATCAAAGTTTTGATTTTGTGAACTTACGATTTTAAGTTAAGTTCAGTGAAGTTTTTTAGTTTAAGTTTTTTTTTGACTAGTTGAGTACTTTAAGGTGGAATGTCCGCAGAAGGGCTTCTCATAAAACGGCTCAGTTTTTACTAGAAATCTTTGGGACCAATTTTTTCCGAATGTCCATAGCTTGATGTGTTACTGTCTCTCAACGTTAACGCAACATGGCGCATTTCCTAGAAATAGTCTCCAGCATAGACGGGAGGCCCTCGACAATCTCAAAACAAACCCTTATCCTACTCTTGTCATTTTTGAGTGTCCACTGGGGGCGGATAGGCTTTGAAGTCGCCTCTTCGCACCGCCCCAACCATTGCTCAGCTGATCACCGCGTGTGCCTTTTTGTGGGGCCGTGGACGTGTAAGGGTTTCGGCAAGGAGTGTAGCGTATTAATGACATTTTTGAATAATATGTAGCCGATTCGGTATATGCTACCTGTAATTCTCGAAATCCTGAAGGTCCATTTCTAATTTATTAAAAAGATAATTTCAAAAGCAGCTTCATTCGATCAAAACTTTCTCAAAGGTGACCTTTTTGAAAGGGGTCCCAAATGGACAAACTCGGCGTTTTCAGAGCAAATCTTCACCCGAAACCGTAGTCGTCGAGAATTTTTGAAATTTTTGGGAGTTGCGCGGAATCCTACTATATATAAAAAAGTAGTGTCTGTGTGTGTGTGTGCCACTTTGCATGCAACTTCCGTCACCATGTCCGGAGGATATCTCAAGAGGGGAGGGGTTTTAAGGTACGTATGATACGTCATTAGGTGCGTAATGGCTCTGGGATGACTGCACGCTTCTCAGATTTTACAAAATCCGATCTTTTAGACACTAAATTTCAGTTTTTGTAAAAATTTCGGGCATCCTCTTTGTTAAGAAAAAATTAACATTGACCGGAAGTGACACTAGCCTATATAATGGGGCAGAGCAAGCGCTTTTCATTTTTTTCATCGGAATTCATGAGCTCATGCAGAGTGACGACTTCAATCAGATCAGACGGGGCCAGGGTTGAAAAGTCGCGAAGCGGCTTTTCAAACCTGGTTTCTTGCTAATTTCTGGCAGAACAGTAACCTTTGGAGCTTGTGGGGACCCCGGATCCTCAGGCCCCTCTCTGCACTTGCAGGGTCGGGGAGGCGGGCCCCAAGGGCGACGGGTATTTAAGGCTTCACAGGAGGAGAAGCAGCTATGCATCCTCACCACGTTCAAGGAATAAACTAGTTGAGTATTCGAGATCCAATCGTCGAACTAAATAGCAAGATACGAACCCGAGGGACCTATCAGATCAGGGTCCCCACAAGGACCCTGCAAGTGCAGAGAGGGGCCTGAGGATCCGGAGTCCCCACAGAGCTCGTCCTAATTTGATTTAATTTCCCGTAAAAGTCCGAGAAAAAATGCGATAGGGATTCGATAGCAGATAAATTAACCTAAAACTTTACATCGTTAGAATCAGCTAACTAGAATTCCAAGCTCAGGGTTAAGCTGGGCTTAGCCTTCCCATGAACTTGAAGTTTTGAAGCGTCCTTTGTAGCGGTTTGTAGTGAAAATTAGACCGCCTCATCTTCAATAGAATCGAAAGCGCGACGTCTGTGCGTATGCAGGTACGTACGCAAAGCGCGACTTTTGGTTCTGCGGGCATATACGTGAATTTAAACGTGTGTTCATCCATTTTTTGCTGTATTTACACACTCTGGCACTCAAAACACATTATTTATACTTTGGCCAATGCATGGGCCCCAAAAAAGGCACAAAACGGGACGTGATACCTGTATCAATGGTGCGGGGGGAAAGGGTAATTCAAATTGCCGGGGCGAGAGTTGTGTTGCGTATTTAAGCAGCCGTGACGCGGTGATGTCCGCTTCAGTACCATCCCCACTTCTTCATATGTTCCATCGACGTCTTCCACACTTCTTCCCAGCCCTTCTTCTCTTCGGCCGACACACCGCCCGCGTGCTTCTCCATGGCCGCCAGGAAGCCGTCGAGCGTCTTCTGGAAATTGGGTGTGAATTACAACGGATTTTGGTATTTATGATTATGGTATGGGAAGATAATTTTATGATTGTTTAATTGAAGCGTTTTGGCAAGCTATTTATTTTTCGTAAGCAAGCTTTGCCGACTTTTGTATTACAACCTACAACTTTTGTAGTTCAGCCCCCCCCCTCTGCTGGCGTACAGATGTGTAAAGTATACCAAAATGTTCGCCTTGCTCTGGCGAGTATTTTGGTATACTTTACTACCCGGTATGGTGACGGGGAAACGAGATACGGTAGCTTAGGGTAAACTATACTTAAGCCTCGAATTACTGATGCTCTTCCGATACTTTAGCACTTTTCTGGCGGCTCGACGGCAGTGTTTTGAAAGCTTTTTGAGAAAACACAGCTTAGATGACGCTTAAGCCGATTATATTAAAGTTTTTCGCAACTTTTTTTTCGCACGCGCAGCAAAAGCTAATTAACCAGCCCAACTTTCAAAATCTAAAAATTCCTTGGCCATTATCTTGCCGGATTTTCATACCGTAATCCATCCCCAGCACTCACCCCCCATTCGGCAATCGGGAACTTGTTCTCGTCGTAGATGTTCTTGAAATCGCCGAGTGCCCCCCGCAGTTTCTTCTCGTCGCCGACGGCGTCGGGCAATCTGTACGGGGGTTTCGGTTTTGACACTTGAATCGGATTGCTATAAGTAACAAGTACCTATTAAACGTGAATTAATATTAAAATATACAAAAATATTATTAAATATTAAAAAAATTACGGTTTATTTTGAATTCTTTGCTCGGAAGACGAGGAATTTTTATAATTCGGTCTTTAGAAAATTCGGGATTTCGGTATGACCTTTTAAATGAATAAACACGCACCGGAAGAAGGTCTGCATCTCCTGCATGCCCTGCATCACGAATTTCTGGGATCGGGGCAGACTGTCGGGGTCGAGGTCTTCGGCATCGTAGTATTGGGCGAGGCTTTGGTGCTTTGTGAACAGTCTGCAATGTAAAGTCGGAATATAAAAGCGGCAACTTTGGTTGGGCGTTAGCTTGGCGGTGATCTTGGGTTCCGGACCGAATTTTAGTTGTTAAAATTCGCTCAAATTTTATAAAATCGCGCCACGTTATGGCAGGGTCTGTTTCCTAAATCGTGGATAGGGCCTCCCCGGGGGAAGAGGCTCTGTCCTTTCTCAATCCGTTTGGCCTGTTGGCTGATTGGCTCTGCTTTCGCGTGCCGCTCACAAAGCGGGTGTTCGATACCCGTCCGCGGCAAGACTTTTTGCTTTTTCATTTAAAGCTGGGAGTCGAATTTTTCTTTAAAGGGAGCGGGAAGGCCATTTTTCCAAAACAGGGCTTTTCCGGAATATGTGGGCTTCTAAATCGTTGCGCACCTACTGAGACCCCCCGCCACGAGATTACGGTAGCGTAGCAAAACTGCAGAAAATGAACGCACTGTCGAAAGTACTCGGCGGCCGTGTCGCGACCCAACTTGTACTTGGCCGCGTGGTCCTTCAACAGCTGCGCGTTCACCATTCTTCACTGAAATTTGAGGGATACGGTATGGGGGGCGCCAGTTAGAAAAATAATAGATTTCTTCTGAAAGCAGCATAGCGTAAAAAGCGAAGAAGATTCTAAAGCTGTGGAAAAAAGAAAATTCTTAATTTTAAGCTCGAACACCTTAAAACTTTCAAAAAAATCTTAATTTTGAAATGATATTTTAAAATATGGCTTAGCCTGGATTCTGAAGGTCAAAAAATCATCTAAAATGTATCGACAAGGCAAAGCTATGATTTTTTTGGCGGACGCACCGCACGCGCAAGCCATGGCCTCTGGGCGTTGCGTGTCGCTGGTGCGGCAAAATCCATCGAGAACCCAAACGTAATAAATTCATAGCCCCGCCTTGCCAGTCCCTTTAAAATAATTCCACCCGAATTCCGAGAAAGTCGGGGCCGCAAGTTGAAGAGGGCATAAAATGAGGGGGGAGGGGGGGGTAGGGGCCCACGTGGGGAGTGGCCCATCCCTCCGGGGACGCTCCGCCCCTTTTTCCTCTTGTTGAGTTGCTCCCTTTAAATCTGCTCCCCCCTTCAACATCGCTCTTTTTTCCGCATTACAGCCGGTGGACAATCTGCTCCGGCTGGGCGCTGACGGGCTCTGCAAGCATTTGCTGGCAAAGGTGTGCAACGGTTTGGTGGGGGATTTGGTTGAAGGGATCGGCAATGCACGGCCCACCGCACGCAACGCAGTGCTCTGCGTCGTGCATCGCATGTCGTGGCCAGCACCTCGACCCCAAAATTCATTGAATTGGCCTTAGACGTGGAAACACGGACCTTAATTACACGTTCACTACGTATATAAACTATTAACGAAGGTAAAGAAGCTACGCATAAAACTTTGTCACACCTTTTCTTCGGTCTAAGATTCTCTCTCTCGATCTCTCTCGCTCTCGCTCTCTCTCTCTCTCTCTCTCTCTCTCTCTCTCTCTCTCTCTCTTTCTTCCTCTGGCTCCCTCTCTCGCTCTTCGTCTCGCGCTTTTCATTTCTCTCTCTCTCTCTCTCTCTCTCTTCATCTCTCTCGCTCTCTCTCTTTCTCACGCTCTCTCTCTCCCGAATTAAGTGAGTCATGGGATTTAATTCGAACTGGCGAATTTTCGACCAAACCCTATCAAGGACTACAATGCCCCAGCCAGCCGACGGGCTCACCAAGCGGAAAACGCCAAAAATCGTCACGTTCCCCCGGGTTTCAAAGCTCCAAAAATATGTGAGCACGAGGTGGTCAGGTGAGTGAGAGCGAGAGAGATAGAGAGGGCCAAGATTCCGTTGCACACCTCCCAACGGCCACAGCCGGGCAGCTGTTGTTTGTTGGATGGGGACGTAGTGAGGGCGGCTCGAGGATGAGGGCAGGGGTGCTGCCGCTTATTCCCCAACAAAACCCGGGGCCTAGCAGCAGGGTGAACCACGTGGGGGGAGAAGAGTCGGAAGGGCGGCAGAGCCAAAATGCCGACAGTAGAAATCCGGATAGCTGAAATGCCGACAATAGCCAAAATTTGTACACCACGCACACTCATACAGGGTGTCCTAAAAAAGGCCCCTCGGCATTTCGCCGTATAACCTCCGATCGGCCCCAAAATTGGACCAGAGGTGTATCAGACCCTAAATAACAACAATTTTGACCGACAGCCCGATCGCTACGGTAATTCTCGAGTTACGCCGCAAATACGGCTTTTTTCGGAGTTCTCAACAGTTTTTCGACTATCTTTGATACCTGAAATACCTGAAATATCAAACCATGGGGCAGATTTCCAGCAAAATCTGGCACCTGGCCAAGCCGGCCCCCATCGTGGCCAGCTCGTGCCCCAAGAGCTCGAATAGCTTGAGGGCATATGTCCCCCTTCCCTCGGGCCAAAGAGGAAGTTTCACGTGCCACGGCTTCGCACGTCACCGGTAAAACGGCACGCTAGCTGCCTGGAGGACCATTTCATCATGGATCACAAGCAGCTATTCGAATTACATCATGCAGCAGCTGCGCCCATCGAGCGCCTAAAATAACAAAAAAATGTACTTTTCGAAACTAACCGAAAATAATTTTGGAAACTGAAAAACGGAACTAGAGGTTTATTCGATAGACCGTAAATTTATGTTTTATATGAACTATGCGTTTGTACCATAAAAAGCATAAAAAGCGTAAAAAGCATAGCATAAATCCGAACATAAAAAATCTATAAACTTTCAAAAAATGTTAATTTTGGGACGAAAAAGTGGTGGTTTTTAAGTTTTTAGTAGTTTTTCATTGCTCGAAAGTTATAAACAATATTTTTTACGTTTTTGAAACTCTGAAGATTTTGATTTTTGATCGTTTTTCATACATTTTCGTCCGCAAAGCCTCAAATTTTCTCAAATTTTAAAAAATATTTTTCGATGTTAAAAAGTATCCAAAATTCTATAAAAATGTTGAATGTTATCAGACCGTAGAGAATCACCGGGAAAAATTCATATCCCCGCGGTAAAACCCCTCCCCCCACCGCTAACAGTCTAGAGCCTATTATTTTGCCATATCAGATTCGAATTTTTGGGTTTTAATGCGAGGCGTTGTTCCGTGGATCTTCCCGTGCGTCGGCAACTTTCCTCTAGCTTGACCCTGCCCCCGTTCACAGAAAAGTCAAACAGCGCTGTAGAGTTGAGTGAGTGAACCCAACAAATCCAAATCCCACCCCTGCTAATTTTTTTGTAAAAGCTCCTCGACCCCGGAAGAAGAAGTGGGAGGCGAGGGACGGTGAGCAAATATCACAACCCACCGGTACATCCAATCTCACTAGATGGCAAAAACTTTTCGCGCTATTCAAGTTGAGGGGATCTTTCAAGTAATTCTCGGGCTAGCTGGTCCATTATTTTACGCTAATCTAGCGTAATAATCAACCGATATTTTTTCACAATTTTTTAGGCTTTCAAGAATGCCATTCTCGGGGGGTTCTTCGAGCTAAGAAGTTTTGGAATGCCTTCAAAATGCTCCACTGGCAGTTTCTGAAAACAGACTCGGAATCTGAGCAAAATTCTGCACAGAAGATGGTCAAACCGAGTCAAAACTCAATTTACACTAAAAATGTCCCCCTTGTAAACCGGAGGTAACTCGAGCCAAGCTCAGTCGATGCATAAGCTAGGCAAATGGCGAAGCTAGCCAGATACTAAGCGAAGCAAAGCCTAAGTAAGCCAAAAACCTTTTGCGCGTCAACTCGAATCCAACAAAACTTTATCATAAATCTGCATCTTTGCTTTTCTAAATAACAAAACTTTTTGATTTTCTAAATAACAGTTTCTCTTCCAAAATATCGTATCAATCAAGCCATGACACAAATAACCCGAATTAAGACCCACAAAAAACATGAGGCTCCAATTTCGAGTGGTGGCCTTTGCGTGCAAGCACTCAACAGGCAAAAAGACAGGCTGAGCGGGGGCAAAACCCGTTGCAGCCGCATCTGAATGTTCGCCAACTCAATACTACACACCTTTTCGGCATTCTTTTTCCGGAGAGGAAATCGGGTTCTGGACTGTCAGCGGGCGGGGGGTCACTAGTTTTCTATACACCTGTTGATGATATAAAATGTATTTTCATAGTATTTTTGTTAGTTTTTCATTGCCAGGAAGTTATAAAACATAATTTTAAATTTTTTGCAAGTCAAAATTTTTACCTTTTTGGTCCATTTTTCATGCATTTTTGGCTAAACGTCAAAAATTTCTAACATTTTTATTAATTTTATATTGTTTAATGCGTAAAAACTTTGTAAAATGCGATAAAAACAGTTTATTTTTATCATAGGTCCATAGAGAATCATAGAGAAAAATTTAATGCCCCCGCTAACAGCCCAGAACCATAATATCATTGCTAATGCGTGAATGCTCCGCTCTTTTAAGAACACTCCCAAATTTAAGCTTTTCAATGCCCTTTCCGAAAGCCAAAATCAGAGCCGACCCTGGTAAACATGATGCGGGCGACCACGTGGCCATGACCACGATAGCCTGGGGGGGCAATGATGGTCAGCTGTCCACACGATCCCTCTTTCGCTGAAGCCCCGGAATCAGTGATGGGGGAAAAAGTGAAAAAATACTAGAAAAAGGGCAGAAAGGAAGAAAGGAGATTGTGCCGGGCACATTCCATACCTCAGCCCCTCATCGTCAAGCAGTTGTTTCACAGCCATCCCCCCGATCCCATCACTGCAACATTCATCAAATGGGTTGGCCGGGAAGAGGTGGGTAAACACCTCAAGTCGAATGAACTGAGCAGCAACGACTCCGGACAACACCAACAGGGAACACGCGTTCTTACAGAACAGCAACATGCGCCAAAGAATTGGCTGGCGTCGAATTGCTATCAGAATGTCGAAATTCATAATGTCGAAACTCATAATGTCGAAATTCATAATGTCGAAATTTCATAATGTCGAAATTTCATAATGTCGAAATTTCATAATGTCGAAATTTCACAATGTCGAAATTTCATAATGTCGAAATGTCATAATGTCGAAATTCAGAATGTCGAAATTTACATAGGCTAATATTACCGGTGAAACCGCCAAATCCTAGCCAACAATTTTTTCCACATTCTATTGTGTTTTATCTTATCTCACTACATCATTTTTTGCCTAGAATTCGGGGACTTTACCGGAAATTTTAGCCTATGTAAATTTCGACATTCTGAATTTCGACATTATGACATTTCGACATTATGAAATTTCGACATTATGAAATTTCGACATTATGAAATTTCGACATTATGAAATTTCGACATTATGAAATTTCGACATTATGAATTTCGACATTATGAGTTTCGACATTATGAATTTCGACATTCTGAAAATAAGCCGCTGGCGTCTCACTGAGTTTTAATTCCAAGAAAACTCACTTTTTCAGTTGTTAATTCGTAAAATGTACATTAGTAACTTCGGGTTCTTTTGCATTATCGGGGGGTTTCTTGGGAACGAATTTGTTTCTAAATTTTTTTTACTATCCCTAAACGTAAAAACTTTACACAATGCTACTAAA